GGTTTTCAAACTAAGCTGCATAGAGGAATCTTCTTAGGGAGATTTAAAACATGAGCCAGCCTGGCTGGGGAGCTCAGCCGGTTTGAGCATTGTCCTAATATGCTAAGGTTTCAGGTTTGATCCCTAGGCAGGCATATACAAGAATCAACCAAGGAATGCATAAATAAGGGGAACAATATCTCTCAAACTAATATCTCTCTCTCTCTCTCTCTCTCTCTCTCTCTCTCTTTCTCTCTCCCTCCCCTCCCCCCCTCCTTCCCTCCCTTCCTATTTCTCTCTAAAATCGATAAAAACAACAACAAAGCCACGAGCTGCCCTGCCGAGTGCCGCTGGGCATCAGGTTCTGTGAGGCTCCCCAGTGGGTCTGTTGTGCAGAAAAGCTTGGTGCCTGACAAGCAGGCCTCTACTTCCCTCTCTCTGAAACAGGAATGAAGGTGCCCCCTTCGAATTGCTTCAAAACTAGTGTTTTGAGCACCTAAAAAGTAGCATGTAAGCAATCTATTAATAACACCCAGAGTTCCACTTAGAAAGACTCCAAGCATGATTTAGCTCTAACAAGTCATCTGAATTCTAATCTTAGCTCAGTTCTACAATGATTTCCATTGGTCTCTTCAAGGCCACGCCAGGATGAATTCAATATTTAACCACCCATTCGGCGGACGCCAGGCTTAGGTTAGTGATGCCAGCTTTGTGTGGAATCCGTATACCCTCCCACCTCCGTCCCCTGACTGCCACCTGGTCCAGGGGAGCGATCTCCTCCTCATGCTCTGCACTGAGTCCATCTTGGTGAACGACTGGGAACACAGGGAGGACCGTTCCGAACTGTTTTGTTAAGTAATTCTGAGAAAAACCAGACACACTGTATAGCTATAAATACAAAAATGGAACCAAAGACAAACCAATTGATCACTGTATAGATTACCATGGCTTCTTTACTCTCTAGTCTGTCGAGGAAGTTAACAAAGACAAGACTGTAAGGACACAGACACAATAACTTCTCTTCCAGATTTTTCTGTGCAGACATTACAAACATGTTAGAAGTAATTATCTTCTTTTTATACATTTCAGTAAATTACAATCAGGCAAGAATTAGTAAATGAATAATGCCCTATAACAAATACACACATCCTCCCATTTGGAAATAGAGTTTCTCCCACATGTTTTATCTCTAGCAAAGCACAGATCCCTCTGCTTACCAGTGTAGTTTGCGGAATAGTTGTTTGGATCTAAAAATTTCTTAACCAGCTCACAATTAGACAAGATGTGATTTGTGGTGATAACGTTGAGATAGTTCTGGAGACCTTTTTGCCTCTCGGCTATGAATTCACGATCCATGTTACCAATCAATTTCTTGGGAGGAAGAGGTAGACTTAGGCCTGCAATCTTTAAGAAAAAAGGATTATACTCAGTCATTCCCAAATAAGAAATAATACCAGAATCCTGAGCCATTGTATTGCATTAAGTCTAAGACACCACAGATGTTAAGATGCATCCTAATTTTACTGATATGAAAATGTGAAAAATCTATGCATCTTAGAATTCATAAAATATTGCATTAAGCATAGCAACTATAAACTTGATTTTTAAAAAGTGTTTTTCTTTTATCAACCTTACATATGAATGTAATTTCAGAGTCAAATAGTCTTATATTATTATTCACAGTCTCATGACATTCCCCACCACCACCCTCAACACCAGATGACATATCCGTTTCCCAAACCCCGAAGACAGCCATGTTCAATTCTTCCAGCCAATCGTTTGGCATTGGGGAATGTTGAAATTGTTATGTCTTGATTTTTCATTTTTAGGAATTATCTATAAGTTTCTTATCATGGAAAATGAGGATTAAGTTCTTTCACTATCCTGACCTCACCCCCGCCCCGGCCCCCCAACACACACCCTGTTCCTAATCCTTCCAATATAGATACAACTCTATAGTGCAGTACTCATGTTTACATTAGGTAATGATATTCACAACGGAGCCCAAATGCCATGCCTCCTATGCTAACATGCTTCCTTTCTATTTCTTGGTTTTCTATTCAACTTCAAACTCTCTGGCTATGCCTTTTCTCAACACATTCACATGCAGAGATGCATCGATTTCATCTCCCTGAGAAGTACCTTCCAGAACCCACCAAACTGCTCCGGGCAGGACTGAGGGTCCCTACACCTCCTGCAGAGCTGGGCATCCTGGGCCCTCCCTTCACCACCATGCTGGAGGCACATGCGCCTTCCTCCTGCTGATCCCCTTTCCACAGCCACCCTTTTTTCTTAGATATTCCCGATTTTTGGTAGCGATATCCTCTGTAGACTTCCTAAAAGGGAGACAAGTTTTTGAAAACTTGTGTGTCTAAATCTGTCTTTCCTCTACCCCTCACACTTGATTGATAAGCAAGTCTTGATGTAGAATTCTAAGTTGAAAAATATTTTTTCTTCAGAATTTTTAAGAATTACTTTCTTCTTTTTTTCTTTTTTTAAACAGAACAATTTTAATATATATATGTTTTTATTATTATTATTATTATTATATTATTGATTTCAGAGAGGAAGGGAAGAAAGAGAAACATCAATGATGAGAGAGAATCATTGATCGGCTGCCTCCTGCATGCCCCACACTGGGGATTGAGCCTGCAACCCGGGCATATGCCCTGATTGGAAAACGAGCCACAACCTGGTTCATAGGTTGATGCTCAACCACTGAGCCATGATGGCCTAAGCATTACTTTATTGATGCGTAGAACAGACAGAAAGATCTCATAGAGGAGGGGGAGGAGGGGATGGGAAGAAATTAACTAAAGAACTTACGTGCATACTGTTTATGTATAGCCTGTGGACACAGACAATAGTGTGATGAAGGCCTGGGGTGGGGCAGGGGGCTGGGTGGCAAAGAGGGGTAAGTGGGGGACATATGTAATTCTGTCAATGATTAAAGAAAACTTTATTGTTGTTTGGTACATGAGAACATGGGCCCCTTCCCAAGCTCCAACTCCCCCTCCACCCTGTGGGAATATAGTGGAGCCATCTGTAAGGGTGCTGTGGGACTGGCCCGGGGAGCTGGCCAGCTGCTCGGTCAAGACATGGCCAAAGAGAAACTGCTTCTATATGTGAACCAGACTGTAAACTACTGCAGAGAAACAGCTAGGGCCCCCCTCCCACCCGCCCACCCCCCCACCCACCCCCCGCCCCGTGTGCTTTGCTTTCTTACTCAGCCCGGTGCTGAAAAAACCTGTGCTGTAGAAACTTCACCAGCCAGCCAGCCACCACTGGGGCGCATGCAAGTCCTCACAAACCCATGTCTTTCACAGCCAGTCCTCTGGGTTATTTCTTTGGAATCGGCAAGCAGTACGCTGAGGTCTGACCTCCTTGCATAACAATTGTCTTCTGGTTTCTGGTGCTGCTAAAGGTTCAGAATTCCAGATTCTGTTTTGTTTTTCCCTCTCTGTATGAGCTTTTAGGGTTGTCTCTTTGACTTCAGTTTGTGAATTCCATGCGCCTTCATGTGGGCCTACCTTCATATCTCTGTGAGTGCTCGGCTCCTTTCCTTCTAGAAGCCAACACATCTAATACTCTTACATTCTTTGGTATTTTCCTGTATCACAGCATTACTTCTTCCCCTCCATGCCCTTTGCTTTCCTTCCTCGGAATTCCTGTTTTCCAATATTGGACCTTCTGGGCTAATCCTCTATTCTTATCTTTTCTCTCCTATTTTCCACTTTTGTTAACCTTTTTTTTTTTCCTACTGGAAAAGTTTTCTGGGATATTTCCTTTATTTTTCAGCCCTTCTAAAGAGTTTTGATTTCTACTATTATCGTTTTTATTTTTAAGCACTCTTTTCTCCCTGCCCCCAAATAGCATCCTGAATGTAATACAATTTCTTATCTCTCTGAAATTATAAAAGAATTTTTCTGAAGTGCCTGAATGTTCTTCTTTTTTAATACATATTTTTTATTGATTTCAGAGAGGAAGGAAGAGGGAGAGGCAGAAAGAAACATCAATGATGAGAATCATTGATTAGCTGCCTCCTGCAATGATTGGCTGCCTTTTGCAGGCCCCCGATTGGGGGTCGAGCCCACAACCTGGGCACGTGCCCTAGACCAGAATCGAACCTGGGACCCTCCAGTCCATAGGCCAATGCTCTATCCACTGAGCCAAACTGGCTAGGGCTTACTGCATATATTCTGCTTCCTTATTCTTTTTTTTTTTTTCCTGTTTGATTTGGTTGTTATCTTTCATGTTAAAAGTGTCTGCTCATATTTAAGAGAGGGCACCCAAAGCTGACTTGAAGCTCTGGGTGAGGGGCGGGGCTTGTCTGCTGCGGGCTTTACTGTAGCACATGACCTTACTCAGCTGTTTCACTGGGAGAACGTGTGACCTTAGTGTTTAGTCTGAGTCTTTAGCTCTTTCCTCTTAGGCTGGGCAGACCCCTCAAAAGAATCTTCCGGCCTCCTGCCCAGAAGGTGTAAGTGCCAATATTCTGGGAGCCGAGAGGAAGAAGGCAGCTGGGGAGCGGAGGAGGGTTGGGTGCTGGGGTCCCTGCACCTGTTTATTATGTAAATATTTTCAACTGTGCCTACATTCTCCAGTCCAAAAACCGTTCTGACCTCTCCTGGGAATAAACTTCCTGTTTTCTGCTGGAGCGAGAAGGGCAGGTGTAAGTTGCTCAGATGGGGAAGATTTGGGGACCTGACCGCTTCTTAAACATACTTTCAACTCCTGATTCTACCTTGACCTTGGCCCACACCGGAGGCAGCACCTGTAGTGTCAACTGCTAAAACTTTTGGAGGTTTTGTGTGTAAATTGGACCCAGTGGGGTAATTCACCCCCATGTCAGAATTCTGCCTTCCCATACCTGATTAATTGGTTAGTTCTCATCCACTGGATTTTTAGTTTCAAATGTTTTGTTGTAGTTTTCTCCTCTCCTATTTGTCCTTGGGGTGTGTGTGTGTGTGTGTGTGTGTGTGTGTGTGTGTGTGTATCAGACAATTTACTGTTTAAGGGTGGCTTTGGGAGAGGAGAAAAATAAATACAGGTGCTCAACATACTATCATTTTCCAGATCATTTAAAACTTTAAAGTCTATTTTTCAAACTTAAAAAACAAAGCGTCAGATTAATATCTTAATTGAATGAGTAAAATCACTTTTAAAGAGTAGTGCTATTCTACACTTGTGCTTACATTAGGGCAGTGCCAGTGGCATGTGTACTGACTGAGGGGAAGGTCTAAAGAGAAGGCTGCCCTGAATTCAGACAAGGCTGTAATCTAAACCACCCATGTGGGCAAACCTAACTTAGCCTGTGCCACTCTGTGTTTTTCAAATAACAATGAAGACCTTGAACTTGATATTGGACAAGATGAAAAGGTTGCCTGACAATTCCAAATTGCCTATTTCTCCACCTAAGAAAGTACGGCAGGGCACATTTGGAGTGAATTTTGTACTGTGGCATAATTCACTACCGGTAAGGCACACACTGCAGGTTGTTTTCCTTATTCACACAATGAGGCTTTACCGAAGAGCAGTTTCTTTAGTAGCTGAATAAAAATCACACTAATGAAGAAAGCACATCACTCAGCAGGTATACATCTAAGCCAGTTACTTTATTATGTTTTCAGGAGCATTAAGTAATGAAGGGTAATCAAAGGTAATACATTACTGAAAACACAACTGATTTCTTTCTTTTTAAGACTCTCAATAGCCCTAACCGGTTTGGCTCAGTGGATAGAGAGTCGGCCTGTGGACTGAAGGGTCCCGGGTTCGATTCTGGTCAAGGGCATGTACCTTGGTTGCGGGCACATTCCCAGTAGGGGGTGTGCAGGAGGCAGCTGATCGATGTTTCTCTCTCACTGATGTTTCTAGCTCTCTATCCCTCTCCCTTCCTCTCTGTAAAAAATCAATAAAATATATTTTTTAAAAAGACTCTCAATAAATTAAGTTGCAGAATATAATCTGGTGTGTGTGTGTGTGTGTGTGTGTGTGTGCGTGTACTCACTCAGGATATCGATATATATGCTCAATAAATGTCTAAAATGACTCATACCACCTGCTTGAGAATGGCTACCACTGGGAGTGGGTTGGTCAATTAATTTTTATTTCTATACTATGAAATTATTACATTGCTCAACTATTACTTTTTTTCAATTAAAAAAAGGAAAAGGAAACCCTTTTTGCTTATCAAGCTGATCATATACACAGCAAGGACTTTTTTAAAATGCCATTAACAGGTATCAGCACATTTGCCTGCACTGGGTACCTGACCAACAGTGTACCCAGGAGAATCCCACATCTCAGAATGGAGAGACACCTCATATCCGATTCAAACCTCAGTAGGGTTATTTCTCATTCATGGTGGGGATGTGAGAATGAATTTGATACTGTATCTATTTCAAACTTTGTGGCCTCCAAGCTTCAACCAATCTATTTTTTCAAGCTTCGTTTCACTTTAGGAAAATGTATTGATCTGCCCGGCAAACCATCAGCTCTTCTAAATCATCGGGTAACAGAGTCCTTTGCCAGCAGCTGCGATCACAGTGTCCCTGCTATGTCAGTCTGCTGGACATACTGGAGGTGTTTTCCTGCCCCAGTGGAAGATCTCACAATAAATATTCCTAAAAGTACTAAAACAATGCAATGTGTGTGTTATTTTTAAATCTTGTCTTTTAAAAAAGATTAGCATTTAAGAGACATTTTCTTTTTCAGTTTTCTCCTAGAATTTCTAAAATGCTTTCCAATCTCAGCATATAAAGTTTAGGACACCACTGACTAATTAGAAGGGAGGGAGAGAGACACCAACATTGGTGACAAAATCACTAAGCCAGCAATTTCCTAGAAACCTCCACATTGGTGGCTCAAAGCCCTGACCCCCCATCATCCCATTTTCCACCACTTTCCTCTTTAACGTGCCCCGTGGATTCCTTCTTGAGTTCCTTGTATAAGGGAAAGGGAACAAGAAAGGCAGCAGAGAAGTCCCGCAAATTTCCATTCATAACACCTGCAGAGTGACAATGCTCATGGGAGATGATCGCCGAAATGGGGTCTAAAACCCAGAATCTGTCCCATGCTGGGCTAGGAGAAGCCTCTAAATTATATGATAAACTATATTACAGTTTCAAGAAAACTAACTTTTGTCTGGAGGGAAAACCTTCAAACTCTGAATGTTAATCTCTCACTTCCGGTATCAGATTTTAAAAATCTACACAATGCCTTCAAGCATATCTCCATGAATATTCTAGGGATTGCTACACTCTCAACAGCGCCTTAGTTTGTCCCAATTTCCCCTTCGTGTATAAAGGGGAGTCTCTCCTATGTGAGCAATGGGCAGTAAAATTCAAATAACAAACCTTTTGTGCTACAACAGACCTGAGAAGTCACCTGGTTCAACCTTCCAGTTCAGAGGGGGCAACGAGGACCAAGAGAGGAGAGTAACCTGAGGTGGTAGAGGACAGAGCCTGGGTCCCTTCCCACGGCTGAGGGTTCCCTACCCAGTTCCTGTCATTTTAACTCCTGCTTTATTCCTGTTCCTTCTGGTATGCTGTCTTCCTAGATAAGCAATTTTCCACCTTTTCCATTTCATGGCACACAAACTAACTACAAAAATTCTGCAGCACAACAAAAAAACGTATTTTTTGCTGATCTGCCAAAAAATAGGTATAATTTTGATTCATTCACATCGGATAGCTATTATTGTGTTGGCTATTGTCATTTTTTAATTTGACAAAGGGAAAGAGGTCAGTGCCCTTGACTAAACAGTCAGGTATTGCATGTTTTAAAAATTCTTGCGGAGCCCTGGCTAGTGTGGCTCAGTTGGTTGAGCATCGTCCATACACCAAAAGGTTGCTGGTGTGATTCCCAGTCAGGGCACATGCCCAGGTTGTGGGTTCGATCCCCGGTCAGGTTGCATGCAGGAGGCAACTGATGGATGTTTCTCTCTCACATCAATGTTTCTCTCTATCTCTCTCTTTCCCTCTCCTTCTCCCTTCCTCTCTGAAATAAATAAAAATATATTTTTAAAAAATTCTTGTGGCCCACCAGTTGAAAACTGCTGCCCTAGATGATCACTAACTTGATATTGACTTTAAAATATGGTGGTGATTTTTCTTCACTATTACCACAAATATGCTCACTATATAAAGTGGGGAAGTGCAGCTTTTTTCTGTTTTTTGTTTTGTTTTGTGGGGTTTTTTTGGTTACATGTGCTTGTTTATAGAGAACTTTGAAAGTACAGAACAGTATAAAGAACCAGAAAAAAAACATAACCCATAATCCTACCACCTGGGTTCACCATGGTTAACATTTTGGCATATGTCCTTCCAATCTTTTTTCTAAACATTTCATGTAATTAAATTCTTCTGCATGTGTAATTTTACATCCTGCTTTTCTTTTCACTCAGGCATTTTTCCTATTGAACTCAAGACAACTCTGTGTATATTATATTTCTCTCTCTTCAGCAGGAACTCATTATCTGTCAGAAGGGTAATCAGACACTGAAAATCATGGTCACAGTTTTAGTCTGTGGTTTTGGAATACTTTGGGTCTGTTTTATAGAGGCTGTTTTGAAAGTATTTTGTTGCCAAAAAGCTGTATGTACTTTCTTCTGTTTGTTTACTTGGATCCAGAAAAACCTCCCACTTGAAATGCTGTCTGGCCATATCCTGCCCAACACAAGCCAACATCAATACACATGAATATTTGCATTTAAAATAAGATGCATGTAGAAAGTATCCATTTTAAAAGGGAAAATTACACTGAAGCAAAAAATAAAGCTCTATTATATTAAAAAGGCCATAATTAAATAGTCACAGATATTCAACCTTATATCTCCAAAGAGGAGATAAAACCCTCTTCCCCACCCCCATTCTTAGGGGCTGGGCCTAGGCAATTTCAATTTGAGAAATATTTCTCCCACAACTCTTACTCAGCCCTGGCTGGATAATACTGTACAAAGATGACTCCCCCTTCCTTAAAACTTGTTCATAAAGGTAAAGACACACAGTAGGCTCAATGTTAACCCTCAAATGCTCGCCCCACCGTGGGGCTGTCTAGAAGGGTTGGGAGACAATCCACGCTGGAATGAACTGCACATTGGTTGGTGCCTTATCTACAGTGTCATTCCAGGCCCAGCTTTTTGTCTTACAGCAAATAATATGCTATTAAAATCCATACAGGAAACCAACTAAGCCCAGCTACGAGGAGAATTCAATCTCTGCCAATATTCTATTTGGAGATTTAAATTGGTCATACTATAATTAAAATTTAAAAAGACAACATGTGTCAAGTGCATGGCCATATGGCAATTACAAGGCTTGCAGATACTCAGGCCAACCCTACCGCAAGGCAAATAAGACAGTCATACTTTCAGCGGTGTTGTAAATAATCTCACAGTGTGGACGCGACACGTGCTTCCACATGGCCTTTGGATGGAAAGGAAGCATTATGCTCCCTCCCAGCCAGCAGTCCTGTCCTTTCTGGATAGGACCAGAGGTCACTCCGACTAAGTGACGATGTCTAGCTCACCAAAGAAGGGAGCAGTCCTTCACCTCCCAGCTGAGCTGGTAAGAAGCCAAGCGCCCTGGCTCAGGTTTAAAGGGTTTTGTGTAACCAGTCCAATCTGAGCTATGACACAGCCCAATGGTGTTCAGTAACCCACGGCACGTGAAGACCAATCTGCCAGGAGAAGACATGGTGGAATTGCCACTATTTCCCTTAGTACTAAAGCCCCTCCAGGACCAGCACTGACTGTGTTTCCAAAGACTTTGCAGCTCATCTCTCTTTCCATTATGGCCACCAAGTTAGGGACATTGACATCAAAGGGATTTAGAACTATGTATTTAAGAGTAAAAGTTACACCGAAAAAGTCTCTAGTTAGTACTCAGCGTTGACCTGCAATGCTGACTATGCAGCCTGGTATAGAGAAAGCATCTGAGGGAGTTCCAGCTCCATCTCTAAGAGAACAACTCTAGCAATCCATTTAATGCTCCCAGCCCTGAGAAAAGGAGGTTAACTCATATCCCATCGCTGTGGTAAAGGGTGCAGTGTGGCCCAAAGGTACGCAGTCAGTCACAGGGTCGCTACTGTAAATCACGTTTGTTCCCAAAAGTCCATTTTTAAAGCCACACAACATCTGTTCCATTGGCCAGGGAAACCTGCTAATTTCGTGTTCCCGATATTGCCATTTCCAACTGGTTTCTAAGACATCTCAGGAGAGCAATGTGTGTCGTTAGTGTTTTAAAAGACTTACCTGCAGGCTGTTGTTCAGCAAATCAAAATCACTGTATCTCCTAATAATCTGTAAGAGACAAGACAGTGGCGTTTTAATTCAGCAAAGACCATCTCTTCTCATTTTCTTATTTAGTGTTTATTGGCATCCTAGAGCCTGGGCACTGGCACCAAGGTCCTTAACTTGCTTAACTCACAGGCCCAGAAAGCAGGCCTGGCAGTGTGCCCGAGCCGGCTGGCCATGGGATACTGCCAGCCAAACTCGTAAGACGCCAACAGGACGCCAACAGGTAAGAGACAGCAAGGATGTATCTTTTCAGGGCAAATCACCATTTAAATATCTTTCTAATTAACCAGGCACCTAGAAAGATGACTTAATGATTTACCAAAAAAAGAAAAAGTTTTACTGAACATAAAATCAAAATTAAGGAGGTGGACAGTTTTGAAGCCATTTCATCTTTTTTTTTTTTTTTTAATATATTTTATTGATTTTTTACAGAGAGGAAGGGAGAGAGATAGAGAGTTAGAAACATCGATCAGCTGCCTCCTGCACATCTCCTACTGGGGATGTGCCCGCAACCCAGGTACATGCCCCCGACCGGAATCGAACCTGGGACCTTTCAGTCCGCAGGCCGACGCTCTATCCACTGAGCCAAACCGGTTTTGGCCCATTTCATCTTTGACTGGATAAAACGTCTCCCAATTAAGATCCCACCACGCTGGAGACCGGTCCAGACCTGCAGGCAGTGGGCCCACAGCCCACACCTCTCCCAGGTTCCCAGTCCCCTGTGGGCAGAAAGTCCAGCTTCCATTGTCTATACCTTCTTTCTTAGTTGTGCCAATGCCATTGATTAGGCCAGTGATGTTCTTTTCTCATCTCTTGGCACACATAAACTAATTATTAAATTTCTGCGGCACATCAAAAAATATATATTTTTGCCCTAGCCGGCTTGGCTCAGTGGATAGAGCATCAGCCTGCAGACTTAGGGGTCCCAGGTTCGATTCTGGCCAAGGGCACGTGCCTGGGTTGTGGGCTCGATCCCCGGTAGGGGGTGTGCAGGAGGCAGCCGATTGGTGATTCTCTCTCATCATTGATGTTTCTCTCTCTCTCCTCTCCCTTCCTCTCTGAAATCAATAAAGAAATATATTAAAAAATATATATACATACATACATACATATATATATATATATATTGCCGATCTGACAAAAAAAAAAAGGTGTAATATTGATTCATTCACACCAGATGGCTATTGCTGTATTGACTGTTGTCAGAATCAGTGCCCCTAAAAAAAAAAATAATAAAAAATATATAAAATCAATAAAATAAAAATAAGTTAGTGCCCCTGGCTAAATAGTCAGGTATAGCATGTTTTAAAAATTCTTGTGGCACACCGGTTGAAAATTGCTGGATTAGGCCATCACCAAATTCTACTAGCTCTTCAGGCTCTCGGAAAGAAATTATTTTACTGTTGAATAGTTTGACTTGAACCATTGCTGATGATTCTCAAATGTTAACGTGCAGAAGAATTACCTGGAGGTCACCTAGGACCCTACCACCCAGAATTTAATTCAGTAGGTCTAGGGAATCAAACCCGTGACCTTGGCGTATGGGACAACACAACCAACTGAGCCAGGGCCCAGGAGTGGAATTTTAAATCACTCAGTCTGGAATTGCCTGATCGACAGTGGTGAGGTAATCCGCCTGATAAGACCCAGCCTTCCTGAAAAGGTGTCCTTGCCTGAAATAACCCATTCTTTTAACTTAGTCCCGGCCACCTTGTGCCTATAAGAACCTCCTATTTTGTACATCTCATCGGAGCACCTCTCTAGTTGCTAGATGGGATGCTGCCCAGTTCACAAACCACTTAATAAAGCCAATGAGGACTTCGAATTTACTCTGTTGAATTGTGTTCTTTAACCTGCGGACTGAAGGGTCCCAGGTTCGATTCTGGTCAAGGGCATGTACCTGGGTTGCGGGCATATCCCCAGTGGGAGATGTGCAGGAGGCAGCTGGTCGATGTTTCTCTCTCATCGATGTTTCTAACTCTCTATCCCTCTCCCTTCCTCTCTGTAAAAAATCAATAAAATATATTTAAAAAAAAAAAAAAAAAAGCCAATGAGGACTTCGAATTTACTCTGTTGAATTGTGTTCTTTAACAGAGGTAAGAGTCAAGCTGGGCTGTGAAGGACAAGCTAAGATGGGAGGTGGGAAGAAATGGCCTCCACACAGAATTCAGCCACCCTCTGCAAGTCAACTGGAAAGACCTCTAGATCTACGCAGGAAGTTCTCTCTCTGAGGCCACCACTGAGGAAAACAGAGCCACACCATGAGGGAACCAGCACTAGAAATTGCCCATGAGTGAACTCGGGAGTCCATGAAATGCATTGTCCAAACTGTATAATGCAGTCGTGGGCAAACTACGGCCCGCGGGCTGGATCCAGCCCGTTTGAAATGAATAAAACTAAAAAAAAAAAAAAAAAAGACCGTACCCTTTTATGTAATGATGTTTACTTTGAATTTATATTAGTTCACACAAACACTCCATCCATGCTTTTGTTCCGGCCCTCCGGTCCAGTTTAAGAACCCATTGTGGCCCTCGAGTCAAAAAGTTTGCCCACCCCTGGTATAATGTCTAGGGCACTTTCTCACCTGCCCACCTGGTGGACTGAACCCTAACTTCCCCACCCAAACCAAGGCTGCAGGATGAGGTTTTAACTACTAGGAACAAAACAAGTAACTTGCCTATCCTACTTTGGGTCTAGCCAGAGAACAAAGTCCTAGACACTCTCCATGGTAATATCATATACAAACTAAACCAAATAATTGGCAATAGAAAAGCCTTTTATAATATACGTCTAAAAGCTAAAGATCTAGGGGCGGGCTGGAGGGAGTCACTGGGGGGAAAAGGGGACATATGTAATACTTTCAATAACAAAGATTTTTTTAAGCTAAAGATTTATATCTAAAAGAAATGTGATTTTTATTTATGCGTGTTTCCATTTTTCCAGATTTTTAGATGCCACAGTCAGAATTTTGTTGGAAAGTTTAAAACACTTTTCTAATCTCACACACACACACACACACAAATGCTTACCTGCCAGCTGTTTTCTACAGAAATTCCTCTTTGAACCCGAATGATATACTCCTAAATAAAAAAAAAAAAAAAAAAGAGCCTCATTTATAAGACATCCAAATCAGAAGATCAAAAATAAGTGAAAATATCAGATAGACTTCTAAGAAAATTACTAGAGACAGACAGGGACATTATGTAAAGATAAAAGGGTAATCTACCAGCAAGACATGGCAATTTTAAATGTGTATGCACCAAACACCAGAGATGCAAAATATGTGAAGCAAAAACTAAGAGAAATGAAAGAAGAAACTGACAAATCCACGATTATAGTTGGAGATGTCAACACCCCCCTCTCAGCAATTGATAGAACAACTAAACAAAAGACTAGTAAAAATACAGAGGAACTCAACAATACCATCAACCGACAGCTGACTTAGCATTTTAGAAGACGCCGTCCAACAACAGAATATACATTATTTTCCAGAGGATATACAGAGGGCAAATAAACACATGAAAATATGTTAAAGATTACTAGTTGTCAAGCAAATGCAAATTAAGATCACAATGAGATAACATTTTACACCTATCAGAATGGCTGAAACAAAAAATAATAACACCAAATGCTGGCTAGGACATAGAGAAACTGGATCACTCATACATTGTCTATGCGAATGTAAAATAGTACAGCCACTCTGAACATAGTTTGGCAGTTTCCTAAAAAATTAAACATGCAACTATCATACAACACAACAATTGCATCCCCCAGCATTTAGCCCAGCGAAACGAAAATTTACATTCATACAAAAACTTGTACACGAATGTTCATAGCAGCTTTATTTTAAGAGCCCAAAAGTAGAAACAAACCAGATGTCCTTTAACAGGTGAATGGTTAAACCTTGCTGCATCCAAAGCATGGAATACTACTCAGCAACAAAAAGAAATAAACTATGAATACGTGCAACATCTTGATGAATCTCCAGAGAATTATGCTGAGTGAAAAAAGAAAAAAAAAGATTATAAGCTACAGATGGTCTCAAATTTATGATTTTTCTTACTACTTTACAATGGTGTAAAAGCGATAAACACTCAGTAGAAACCCTACTTCAAACTATAAATATTTATCTTTATCTGGGCTAGCAATATGCATGTGATACTTTCTCATGATGCTGGTCGGCGGTAGTGAGCTCCAGTCAGCCCCAGGATCACACGGGTAAATCAGATACTCTATAGCAGTGATGGCGAACCTATGACACGCGTGTCAGAGGTGACAGGCGAACTCATTTTTTTGGTTGATTTTTCTTTGTTAAATGGCATTTAAATATATAAAATAAATATCAAAAATATAAGTCTTTGTTTACTATGGTTGCAAATATCAAAAAATTTCTGTATGTGACAGGGCACCAGAGTTAAGTTAGGGTTTTTCAAAATGCTGACACGCCGAGCTCAAAAGATTCGCCATCACGGCTCTATAGTGTACTGCGTTGCCAGTGGTTTTTGAATATCGTGTTTGAGCATGTTTAAGGTAGGCTAGGCGAAGCTATGAGGTAACATGTATTAGAGGCATTTTCGACTTCCGATATTTTCAACTTCGGATGGGTTTATCAGGATGTAACCTCATCATAAGTTGAGATGCATCTGTATATGATTTCACTTATATAACATTCATGAAATAACAAAATTATAGATATGGAGAACAGATCAGTGGTTGCCAAGAGGTAAGGCAATGGAGTAGTAGGTAACATGTGGGAGGGGAATGGGTGTGGCTATAGAAGTGTAACCACAAAAGAAGCTTCATTTCTTTAATATGACCTTTTCTTCTTTCTTTCCTTTTGATTCACATTGGCCCCATCCAGCATCCTGACTCACCTGCCTCCTTCTCCCACGCATGTCCACTCCCTTAATCATTAAGCCCTCGGGACAATGAGGTTCTGATCAGCATCAATAATCTTAGGAACAATGTCACGTGTCTGTTGACCCCAGAGTTTCAGTCAAGCTCCCTATCACATCTAGGCCTCAGTTGTGTTTCAGCTCCAAATCCAGAAAAACAGAGCGAAATCAGATGGCGTGACACCTTGGCTGACATCAGGACCAGATGCACTGACCAAGGAACCCCTGAACTCCTACCCTGGCACCCACCAATCAGTAGAGACCACGACCCTCACTCCCTTAGTCACCAGGATTAATGATTTCTCCCCTATATAATTTCTCCCCTGGGAGCCATCGGGAGCCATCTTTGGGCATTAGCTCACCTGTAACTCTGGGTGTGGGCCACTTCCTAAAAATAAACCCTGACTCTCTGCGGCAAACTCCTGTTTGTGTCGTATTGGGCTTTGATGCACGCAGGCAAATGGACTCCTTTAGGTAATAGAAGGGCAAAGTGAGGTGCTATGGTTTGAACGTTGATGTCCCTCAGATTTTATATGTTGAAACACTAACTGCCAAATATGATGGTATTAGGAGGTGGGGCCTTCAGGAGGTACTTACGCCATGAGAGTGAAATCCTCATAATGGCATTAGTGCCTTACCAAAGAGGGTCCCCTTGCCCCTTCCACTGTGAGGACACTTGGAGAAGCTGCCAGCTGTGAACCAGGAAAAGGACCCTCACTACAAGGTGATTATGCTGGAACCTTGATCTTGGACTTCCAGCATCCAGACTGTGATAAATAAATTTCCATTGTGCATAAGCCAGCCAGTTTATGGTACTGTTTGAACAGACTAAGACACAGGGATGCTTGGATTGATGGTGAGGGAGAGAGAGTTTGCCACCCTACAATATGCCTCTTTTGGGATGTTGGTTATTTTAGACTGGTTAATTTTAAGAACCAGAAGACAAGCTAGAAGCTCTGAAAAGCCAAGTAGAAGTTACCCTCTGTAAAGCATACGCACAATAGTAAGGGTGTTTCCCTCACTGTACAGCCCGCCTTCACTATCAATGGAGAGGGCATGAGCTTTAATCTACCACAATCTTACCCTTGTATACTGAGCTTTTCCTATAATCCTCCACAATTTACTCCCACCCTCAATATCTTCTTTTGTCTTTAGCTGAAGGTGTTATTTAAGGTGATGGCTTCTGTCATTTTGGCAAATTACTCTGTATTCCCAGCATCCCAGGAAGTAGAGTTATTAAACTTAGAATTTTCTCCTGCTAATCTATCTGTCTTATGTCAATTTGATTATTAGGCCAGCCAAAAGAACCTTAGAGGGTACAGGAACATTTTCCTCCCCAACAATGGAAATGGTCTGTATCTTGACTGTACTGATGTTAATGTCCTGGTTGTGATATTATCTTACAACTCCAGTTTCATAAGATAAACCATTGAAAGTAATTGGGTAATAGATATATGGGATTTCTCTGAATTGTTTCTTACAACTGCACGTGAATCCACAACTATCTCAAAAAGTTTAATCTTAGGTATTCAAAAATAGATGTGAAAGCAGTCAGAAGACTAAGATCCATGATTTTTAGTGTTGGAATTTCGCATTTTATATGCACAGTCAGTTAGAAAAGTCCATGATTAAGAAAGCAAGTAAAGCCTGGCTGATATGGCTCAGTGGTTGAGCGCTGACCCAGGAACCAAGAGGTCGCCGGTTCGATTCCCATTAGGGCACATGCCCAGGTTGCGGGCTCAATCCCCAGTAGGGGGTGTGTAGGAGGCAGCTGATGGATGATTCTCTCTCATTGATGTTTCTATCTCCCTCTCCCTCCTCTCTGAAATTATATATATATTTTTAGAGAAAGCAAGTAAAAAAGGTGGAATAGATATGTAGTGATGGCATTTTCCAAAGAGATCATATCTGGTGACCCCTCCAAAACTTGCCTGGTCATTAAAATCTCCTGTCCCTGAGGAGCAGGGAGAGGGGAGAGTGTTAAAAATACACATTCCCAGGCCTTGCATAAGACTCGCTGAATCAGAATCTCTAGGTTAAAACCTAGGAATTAGAAGTTTTAAGAGCCTCCCCAGGTAATTCTTAAGTAAGCAAGAAACACAGACCTAGTCCAGCCTTATGCTTATATACACGGGAGTTTATGATGAAGGTGTGGTAGGCAGTTAGACAGACATAAGCAGAGCAAGGATGATGGGCCAGGATTGAAGGTCACCAGGGCAGAAAGCCCCAGGTGCCTAGCAACGGGTAAAACCCGGAAAACAAGGACCTCACCCCCAGGGTAACCTTTCCTCCCCTAGGATATCGCTGGTGATGCAGTCCGGACCCTCCCCTGGCATGTTGCTCATTATGTGGGTTAGACCCCCTTAGAGGGGAATAAACAAGAGGGCTGGAGCCCCCAGGACAATGTGATTCTAACCCACATCATATACATCTAGGCCTCAGTTGTGTTTCCCATTCCAGGCCCAGAAAATCAACAAACCAGAGAAGCGACACCATGGCTGACCTCAGGTCCCCCTGTCCTGGTTCCGACCCATCAGTGGAGACCATGACCCTGAAAGGACACACCTGGAAAACTGATGACTATTCTATTGGATCCTCCCATGAGACCTCAGATAAACACCCTCAAGACGGAGGACTCAGTGTGGCTCTCTCCATGGGGCACTTCTGACCTTCCCTACCCCTTTCCCAGGCACGTTTTATTCGCATCTCTTTCTCCTAAGCTCCAGGGCCCTTTTTTGCCTCTGTAACTTGTTTCCTGAGCCCATTTCTTCTACCTCTGTGACTTTCTATTTTTTGTTTGTTTGTTTGTTTGTTTTAATTTATCTTTATTGTTGAAAGTATTACAGATCTTCCCTTTTCCCCCCAATTGGCCCCCTCCACCCGGCTCCTGCCCCCTCCCCAGACTTTCAATGCACTATTGTCTGTCTGTCTCTCTCTCTGTGTATATATATATATATGAAAGCTTAGAATTACTCAGTTATATGTGCTAATTTCAGCTCTACTATCAGAATGTAAAAGCCCAGAAAATTTGCCAGTAAGACAGTTCTGAGAAAATTTCAAAGCTAACGGACTGATCCCATAGACACGTTTTTCTGATGTCTAAAGTTGGGGGGAAATGTTAATTCTCAAAAATCATTTGGAGCATCCATTGCTTCACTATAATTTACCAGAGAGGAAGTTTAAAG